GATATTCTGTATTTTAAATTCATCTCGTTATTCAATACCAGATGAACACGCCTGTAGTTACTTTTTATACTTTCTCTTTCATCTGGGTATGTTGTATTTCATCTCCGCTAATTTCTAGGTATTTATAGGTTTCTTCTTGTACCAGTTCCTTCATATTTGTGACAAGATCTACATCTTTTGAATGTGTTGCTGTAATTCTCTCTTTCTTGAATATTAATTTGGCACATTTCTCTAATCCGAAAAGCATACTTATGTCATCACTGAAACATTTTACAGTATTGAGGAGACCGTTCAACTCATTGCCGTCTTTGGCAAAGAGTTTGAGATCATCCCTGTTGAGTAGGTGATTGAACACTTTCTTGTTTACTTTCTATCAATAACGATTATTGTTTAGTTCATGTGTAATGGGATTAAAGATAGACAAACCAGAAGAGGTGTTCAGTTTCAGATGGTTGAAAGTGGCAATACCGTTAGCAGGATTTAGGTATAATGTAGCGTTTCATATTCCACTGCTGTGTTTAAGGAAATTTACTATCACCGAGGAGACATTGTACAGTTCCAAATTCTTCAGGATCCAGGAGTGTGGCACACTATCAAAGGTTTTACGGTAATCTATACATGCTCTGGTGATAATACTCCAATTTTTCTGCAGTATTCCAGGATCAGTAAATTGCTGATGCCCACTAAAGGATGGACGGATAAGTCCGCCTACGAAACTCTGAAATCGGGATGCTGAATGTAACATCAACCTGCTAGGTGACAAATTTTACTTATTTGTTATATACCGTACCTATGATCACTAATGGGTATGTACCAATCCTCGTAAGTACGTAAGACACTATTGTAAGTGGGACGAATATGGTCTCGATGTAGTTCACAACAAGCAGTGGTTTACCTACTTCACGCCGCTGGCGAGTATTGTATTTTGTTGATGTTATAAAGATTACCATTTCATTTTCAACCTACGTTTTGATTATTCCCCATTCAATTACCCTTTCTTGGTTACAACACACACACACACACACACACACATATATATATATATATATATCGTATATATATATATATGAGATATATTTATCGTATATATATAGACATATATTTATCGTATATATATATATATATATATATATATATATATATATATATATATATATATATATGTGTATGAGTGTGTATGTATCAAATGATATGGATATACCTATACATAACACTAAATCTTGTATATATATATATATATATATATATATATATATATATATATGCAGATATATACAGATATATATATATATATATATATATATCGCTCTGCATATATATATATATATATATATATATATATATATATATATATATACACGTATGCATATACACATATGCCCACACACACACACACATATATATATATATATTATCGTTATATATAGCTTATCCTGATCTCTCTCTCTCTCTTTCTTTCTCTCAATCTACATATATATATATATATATATATATATATATATATATATATATATATATATATATATATATGATTACATAGTTTTATAATTTTCTAGACAGATAGGTTTTCTTTGGATTTTTCATGTGGTTTCTCAATATGGTAAGGCATTTTGTAATGGATATATTTGTGGATAGTTATTTGATATCTAAGCTATCCACAAACTTGTTTTCCATATTTATGTTTCGTATTCGCTCGTCACCAGTGTGTTCAATGTGTGTTGGATTGAAAGTGTCTCAGAACGGAGTTAAGATTTTCGCAATAACTTTCGCTAATTAGTGGGGATAAAATGGGTCTGATAGATATTGGGTTGTCGTGTTTTGGGCAACTCTATTGTATGGATGTGGGTTAGGCTGGTATTCTATTAGTATTTTCTATGATTGTTTTTTTTTAATGGTTTATCTTATATATATATATATATATATATATATATATATATATATATATATATATATATATATATATGTACATATATGTATATATATGTATATATATATAAATGTACTGTATATATATATATATATATATATATATATATATATATATATATATATATATATATATATATAAAGGGGTGCAAGAATGATCACAGAAGCATATGCGTGTTTATATATATACGGTCATAGATGTTGTATTCATATTTATGCCTGTTCAGAAAAACGCATGCGTACAAGAAGCAAAAATAATTATGGACTTAGATGTCACCAGGTGATAACATGTATCTTGTCAAACAGCTGATTTCACTCGATTTTTTTCTTCTTTTTTTTTCTTTAATTTCAAAAGACGATTTTAATTAAAAAATGTAACATTATTTCCCCTTCTCGAAGACCAGATAACTGGAATTTTCGAATACTTCCTTTACCGTTTTTGGCTTCGGGTAAGACGAATCAATGTCGAAATCTCTGATTTTTCCATCTTAGATATCGATGTTAAGGCCAGTAGGTGTGTCAAGAGTCAGAGGTAATCAAATAATAATAATAATAATAATAACAATAATAATAT